GATGGGCAAGGCCTAAACATCAGATCCCTCCGAGCACATGGGAGACCGCCTATCTGTTCTGGAGCCAGAGGGAGCCACCCAGGTGGACTCCAGGTCTGGACACCAGGCCTCCACTCCACCAGGACCTCCATCCCACCAGGACCTTACACCAAGACTGGAATTTCGCCCCATGCTCTTGGAGCAAAGCGAAGCTGCCCGTGTGCCGCTGCTGCTGATTCTGAAACATGGGCTTCAGAATGGCTCTGGAAAGTGACTTAGCTGCCATTGTCATCAGGGAACATCAAAGGAGAGGGGGAATCCGTTGCCGAAGCAGATTTTCTTTGGCCAACAGTCATCAAGCACATGTGATAGGCCAGACTCCACAACGGGTGTTTTCCGGTGCACTATACCAACCCTCTGTGGAGGAGGTAAGATTATCCCCATCTCTGTTGGAGAGAAGAGGGCTGGGGCACACAGAGATTAAGAGAGCTTCCAAAATCACACCACATGTTAGCAGCAGAATGGGGACACCAGCCCAAGTTCTCTAAAGTCAAAGCCACTGATCTCCATAATGCCAAGACACTCATTCGTGCTCACGTGTTTTGACGAAGGGAGACTGCTATGTCAAGATAGACTTATTTTGACCAATTGCTCAAAAAGATCAGCGTCAAGTGAACTTGGGAAGTTTAGATTGAGATCTTTGTATTCAAGTGTTAAAATGTATGAAACACAGCCGGGCTCGGTGGCTCAGCCTGTAATCCCGCGCCTTTGGGAGGCTGAGGTGAGTGGATTGCTGAGCCCGCGGGTTTCGAGACCCGCCTGGGCAGCGAGACCTCATCTCTACAATAAATTAAAAAATCAGCCAGGCGTGGTAGCGCAGGCCTGTAATTCCGGCTACTGGGAAGGCTGAGGCAGAAGGATCGCCGGAGCCCAGCAGGTTGAGGCTGCGGTGGCCAGGAGCAGCCACTGCACTCCAGTCTGGGCGACAGAGTGAGACTCCGACTCAAAAAAAAAAAAAAAATTATTAAAAAAAAAGTATGAAACGCAAAGAGAGAACTGTTTTATTAGTGATTTTTTCCCCAATGACGGGTTGGAGGAGGCACATTCTTTTTTGATCATATTGTAAATGTTTTCATAATACAGTGGGAGAAAGAGATTAATTTGGTCCAATTCAGAGTCTCTAGACACCATGCTAACTCCTGGGTCTTTGTCCCAGGATGTCATCGCCCCCTGGCCAGGCTTCCCTGAATGGCAGCTCTGACCATTGGGCCCTCACTCCCACCGCCACAAGAGGGCTTTTCTGGAAAGCAGTGAATGGCAGGGGAAGGCCCAGATTCTTCAATGGCCTTGGGGAAAGTTGTGTCTTTGAAAAGCACATCCTTCTGTAGTTCCAGCTACTTGGAAGGCTGAGGCTGAAGTATCGCCTAAACCCAACAGGTTGAAGCTGAGGTGGCCATGAGTATGCCACTGCACTCCAGCCTGGGCAACAGAGTGAGACTGACTCAAAAGCAAAGAAAAGAAAAGAAAAGCACCTCCTTTCTCTTCCTAGTCCCACTCGGGGAAGGTCCCTGGTACCAGTGGGACTTTCTCCCAAACATCAAATATGACAGAGGTTTTATTACACTGTTGTGGCCCCACCTGCACTTCCCTATAAACCAGAGTTAATTAAATCCAAATGCTTTGATATGAGGAGAGAGTTCCTCTGAGAATCTTCATTTGTGGAGCATAGAGCTGAGTTTCCAGGAGGTCTCGGGCTGGTGGAGCATAAATGTGTCCCAAAGTCTATGCCCACTGCTTTTTAATCCATCAAATAAGAGAGACAGGCCAGGAAGGAGGGGAGCACCTCCAGCTGGGAAGATGGCAGCCTCTGTTCCTAGCAGGAATGGCCCTCCTGGTCCTCGGCTGTGGGGCTTGGTTTCATATAAAAAGCTTTAACAGGCATCTGGGGAATCAGACAGGTCTTGGCAAGTTGGAGTGACACATAGTGTGGTAATAGGGACCAGATTGGACAATCTGTGTGAGGGAAAAGGAGCCTGTGGAAGTCTCCAGGGGGCCGTGGGCTGAACTTCTGGCCTGCAAGTCCTGTGCAGTAGCTGCGCTCAGGGCCACGTTCTCTTACTGAGTCAGATGCTCTAAGGACGAGGAGATTCTGAGTGAGGTGCTTGCTACTTATTCTTTTTTAAAAAACCATATTCCCAGGAAGGAGTTTCAGCATCTCAGAGAAAACATCTCTATTCTCAGGGAAACAAAAGAAAGAAGAAAAGGAACCATTTATTAACCTGAAACAATAATAAACCTAGGTTATGCTTGGAGACAATATGAAGAACTTGGGGAGACCTGCTAAGCTTGGCGTCAAAATACTTGGCTTCCATTCCCACCTGTTGGTGTGTGTCTGTGAGCACATCTTTCCATCTCCCTGGGTCTGAGATGCCTCATCTGTAAAGTAGAGAAGGCTGGGCCAGATCATCTGGAAGTTTCCTTCTGGTTCCGACAGTCTAGGACAGCTCCATCCTATATGACTTGTGGCAATGTTGGAAATATTCTGTATCTGTGTTGTCTTGTTTGGTATCACTTAGCCACAAGTGGCTGGTGTGACTAGAGCACTAAATTTTTCCATTTTATTTCATTTTTAAATTTTTTTTTGAAAGCCTTGCTTCCCAACTCTTAATTCTTGCTCGGGGTCTTACTCTGTTACCAAAGCTGGAGTGCAGTGGCACAAACACAGCTCACCGTAGCCTAGACCTCCTAGACTCAGGCAATTCTCCAGTTCTCAACCTCCTGAGTAGCTGGGACTACAGGTATGCACCACCACGCCTCACTTTTTTTTTTTTTTAGAGACAAGGCCTCGCTATATTGCCTAGGCCAGTCTCAAACTGGGCTCAAGCAATTCTCCCACCTTAGCCTCCCAAAGTGCTGGGATTACAGACATGAGCCACCGCGTCTGGCCAATTTTACCTAATTAAAAATTAAACAGTCATATGTAGCCAGTGGCTAATGTACTGGACAAAACAGATCTAGGATTCTAGAACTATGATCTGGTCTGTTTGGTGTATGATGTTTACCAGCAGGGCACATCCTAGAAAAGTTTTGCACAGGGGCTGAAATTAACAAGGGTTGCTCGTTTGCATGCTGTTATGAGAAAATCCAATTAGCCAGAAGCCCCTCTCTTGCTGCATTTCAGTTCGTAGAAATTTTATCCACCAGGAGCCCCAACTTGCTGCACAGCATGTTTGTGTCCTTGCTGCCAGGCTAACGACGTGTCTGCCAGGCACACTTGTGGGATCTTGTCTGGAGAGCCTCTAGGCAGCTCCAGGAGCCAAACTGTTTTTCATCATTTCTTGGCAAGACCAGAGGGCAGATACTTAATAGAAACATCATTCAGCTCATTAAGAAAGGGAGATGTGTTTGGAGAGTGAGGTTCAGAAAGGTGTAAGAGACTCCCATTCCCAACTCTCTTCTCTGTACCCACCATGGCCAATCCACTGCCAAGCCAGGTCCTTCACTGTGTCTCTCAGCTTGACCCCTTATTTTTCCATGACCAAGGCCACCACTGTCTGGCAGACCCCCCCCCCCACACACTAATGGCCTGCCTTGCCCTCCATAGACATTCTTCAAGGCCTGTCTCAAATGCCACCAGCTACAGGAAGCCTTTTCAGATCCCCTCTTTGGTAGAATAGAAGAACGGTTAAAATAACACCACGGTTCAGCTAGACTTGGGTTTAAATCCTCGCCCTTGCATGTAACCTCGAACAACTGACTTAACCACTCTGTGCCTCAATAAGTTTCCCATGTCTAAGTGGACACAATGGCTACCTTACGAGGTGGTCGTGAAAACTGTGTAAGTTGATTTATGTTACATGCCTGACACAGCACTTGGTGTGTTATAAGTGCTCAGTAAGTGGTAGAAATTGTTATGATTGTTATTATTACTATTACTATTATATGGTTTTTATGGAGGAAGGGGCACCTCATACATACTGGGTAGCTCCCCTACCCCCAATTCTCAGCATCTGGATGGTGGCAATCACTTGCATTTTTTTTTTATATCCCCCATGCCAAGTTGCAGTTTACAAACAGTGAAGACTCTGAATTTGAATTGACTGAACATGTGTAGAGGCTAAAGGCCTCCATCTGAGTCCTGGGACCACCATTTACTAGCTGTGTGACTCTGGGCATGTTTCTTAACCTCTCTGAACCTCAGTTTCCCCGTGGATACAGTGGAGAAAATAACAGTATCTTCTTCATCCATTGTTTCAAGGACTGAATGAGGCATTACTAACAAGGCATCTGGGGACTATCACCTGGGCTAGCCAGCCTCTAACACAGAACCTGCACCTAGTAGATGCTCACTGAAGGTTTTCTTGATGAATAAATGATCCCATTGTACTCTAACGAGATATAGAGATGGGTTTATTACAGTATTAGTCTCAGTTACAGTAGTTTGGCCTGGGTTTTTGGCATAATTATCTCCCTTCTCTCTTTCTCTTTTATTACTTGGCTGTGGACAGATTGCTGGGTTTTAATTGGTGTATGACATGTGGGCTTTTTTAGTGAACACCTCTCTAGCCCCTATGGCTCAGAAAAGGCATAAAAATAAATATTGGGGTTGGCCACGGTCCTCTCGAGCCCCAGTGAGTAGAACTGGTTTGTGGATGGACACAGCAGCATAAGTGACAAACGGAGACAGACATATTGGCAGGGCCACTAAGGAGGGCTTTATTTGCCAGTTAACTAAGAACGCACGCTCTTTGGGCAACATAGATTCCCGGAAACCTCACCAAAGAGAGCAGTTTTCCCATGGAAATGACAGAGGCATTTTTGAAGTGACGAGGGCTGGGCGCCCCCTGGAGTATCCAACTCGTTGGGTGTGGTCCACTTCCTGATCCTGCTCAGGGTCTTCCTCGCTGGCCAGGGCTGGCCCTGCTCTTTTGGTGGCCACAGAACTGTGGTCAGGAGCAACCCGAGGAGGCATCAGGCTACCCAGCTCCTGGACTCCCTGGATCCACTGGCAGCAAGGGGCCTCAGTAGCGACCCGGGGGGCAGGGCGAGCAGGGCACATACACAGTGTGGGGCACGCAGACGGTGCGGGGCACACCTGGGGAGGGCGCACAGGGGGCACAGGCAGGCGTGGAGCATGGATTACAGGGCAGCCTGCAGGGGAAACCACAGCAGACAGGATTAGCACGGAAGACAGACTCAGTCACCGGGCCTGCTGATTCTACCCCACAGACGCCTCTCAAAGCCATCCATTGCACGCCTTCTCCACCCAGCTTTCCTGATCCCAGCTTCCACCATCTTTGCCCATGTTATCTCACAGCCTCCTAACTAATCTCCACAATCCCTCCTAACCACTGCCCACTTAGTTGCCAGAGTGATCTTCTACAGACACAAATCGCATCATGTCCCTCCCCTGCCTAAAACCTTCCATGGATCCTATCTGAGATTAGGATGAAGAGCAGTTTCTTTAAGACCACCTGCATGAGTCTGCTCCCACCTCTCACTCCCGCCTCATCTTATGGGTCCACTGCTCTCTGAGTTCCGGGGACTCTTACAGTTCCTCCACGGACCATGCTTTTCAGGGCACAGGGTTTGTGCCCTTTTTCCAACTTCCAGAACATTCTCTCCCCCCACCCACTCACCTAATCAATGTCTTCTCTTCCTTAAGAGCTCAGCTCAACTGTCACATCCTACTTGAAGCCTCCACTTATCTCTCTGTGCCAAATCCCCCCCCCACCCCGCCCCGTGGTACCCTGGACCTCCCTCTGCAGTGATTAGTAATTATTCTATGATGGTCTGTCTCCCCTGCTGGGCAGTGAGGTCAATAGCCATGCATGAGTCCCTGCATCCCTGGCATAGAATAGGTACTTAATAAGAATGTGTTAAATACGATGAAATAACAAATGTCTGTAGAATGAATACACGGTGAAAGGAAAAGGGGTAATCTCAGAAACTGATGGGCCTGAGTTCAAAACCTCAAAATCAGAAATAACAAACTGGCCATAGGATGGAGACCAAATTGCTCAGAGACCTATCAGGCAGCCTGAGGACCACATATAGCCTGAAATGTGTTAAATTTGCCTGGCAGTATATTTTCTTTACTTTGTTGAAAATATTTAAAAATCAGAACCAGGTGAAGTGGCTCATGCCTATAATCCCAGCACTTTGAAAGACCAAGGCAGGAGAATTGCCTGGGCCCAGGAGTTCAAGATCAGCCTGGATGACACAGTAAAACCTTGTCTCTAGAAAAAAATCAAAAATCAAAAAATTAGCCAGTGGGGTGGTGCACACCTGTAGCCTCAACTACTTGAGAGGCTGAGGTGGAAGGATCGCCCGAGCCCAGGAGGTGCACACTGCAGTGAGCTGTGATCCTGCCACTGCACTCCAGCCTGGATGACAAAGAGACCCTGACTCAAAAAAAATTTATTTTTTTAATCAGGAGAATTTAACATTTTTTTTAAAAAATCTAGCTTTCCAGCTTTCCCTTAAGCCAGAAGAAGATCCAACAATATGTACCTGCATCTCATATGGTAGAAATGGCCCCAGGAGCACAGCACTGCCCATGCTGGACGGGTGTGAGCTCCTTGGTTTTCCAAAGTCACCACATGACCTATGTCATTCGTGTATGTTAGCAGCCTGGTCTTTGCCAGCGTTTGACTTTGCAACATTTGCCCCTGGAGGATAAGTTCCAGAATGACAGGGCAACAAGGCTAAATGTAGACGAAGACCCTGCTACAATAGTGATTGACCCACCAGGTGTGCACAGCCCAGAGGAATCCTGCATCCAGAAGCCACTATGTCCTGCTGATTCCTTCTGCACCACATCTGGACTGATGCCTCCACTGCCCTGACTCGGGGCACAGCTGGGGCCTTCTGACAGTTTCTCTGCCCTGCTCTCCCTCCCCCTACTCAGTTCTTCCCACAGCTGTCAGCCCATCTTTCTGAAGAGCACCTTTGGTTTTTCATTAGACGGGGCCAAGAAAGGTTTACTAAGCATCTGTGTGCCAAGTACAGGGAATAAAAATGTATTTTATTGTCACTGCATTTCTAGATGTCTACCATCTAGTGGGGAAGATGGGTAGTTAAGAAAAGTCTACAATTTAGTCTTTAAAAAAAGTAAGACCTTCCACTCGCCTATAAAATAAAACCCTCCTCCAGGTGCAATGGCTCACACCTGTAATCCCAGCACTTTGGGAGGCCAAGGTGAGAGGACTGCTTGAGCCCAGGAGTTCAAGACCAGCCTAGGCAACATAGCAGGACCTCGTCTCTACAAAAAAAAAAAAAAAAATCAAAAAATTAGCCAGGAGTAGTGGTTTGTACCTCTTGTCCCAGCTACTTGGGTGCCTGAGGCAAAGGGATCACCTGAGCCCAGGAGGTCAAGGCTATGGTGAGCCGTGATCGTGCCACTGCACTCCAGCCTGTGTGACAGAGTGAGACCTCGACTCAAACAAAAATTTAATAAAAATAAATAAAATAGCTGAGTATGGTGGCTCACATATATAATCCCAGCACTTGGGAGGCACAGGCAAGACGATTGCCTGAGCCCATGGGTTCAAGCTCAGCCTGGGCAACATGGCAAGACTTCGTCTCTCCAATAAATCAAAAAATTAGCTAGGTGTGGTAGCGCATGCCTGTGGTTCCAGCTACTTGGAAGGCCTAGACAGAAGGATCACCTGAGCCCAGCAGGTCGAGGCTGCAGTGGCCGTGAGTATGCTACTGCACTCTAGCCTGGGTGACAGTGAGGCTCTGACTTAATTAATTAATTAATTAATTTAATAAAGCTCTCCCTTCCCAGCATGACCTTCATGAATGGGTTCTCCATGAATGGGCCCCAACTGACCTTACCTGTCCTGCTTCCCACCAGAATTCAATCACACGAAGCTATCTACCATGCTCCCAACACACCAAAATCTTCTCACCCCAGTCTAGTGTCCAGTCGCCTGTCTGTCTATCTCCCTAAACAGATGTAAACAATTTGAGAGCCGATGCCTTGTCTTCATCTAGCTCAGTATCTTCCATAGCTCCTGGCCCCTGATAGGCACTTGGAAGAAATTTGCCAACTTGGAAGGGGACAGAATGGTCTCCAACGGGACAGATTTGGGTAGCATGAACGCCACCACCTGGCTTTCTTCAGAGCACGCCAGTTTCCCAATGGCTTCTCAAGCGGCAAAGGCTTCCAAGCTGATGGTCCCTCCTTGGTAGATCTAGGTGCTTCCTACAACCTCCCCCAAGCCCTGCCCACGTCTCTCTTAGTTGGGCCAAACCGTACTTGCTGTCCTCGCTCTCCAGCAGGCCCCGGTACGTGTCGATCTCGCCCTCCAGCCGCGCCCGGACATCCAGCAGCACCTGGTACTCCTGGTTCTGCCGCTCAAGGTCACAGCGGATCTCAGCCAGCTGGGCCTCCACGTTGGTGATCAGGCCCTGCATCTGGGCCAGCTGGGCACTGTAGCGGGCCTCTGTCTCTGTCAGCGTGTTTTCCAGAGAATCCCTCTAAGACACAAGAAAGACATACCATGAGGAGGGAGCTGTCTTCCATTACCTGGCTCAGAAAAAAAACAAGAAGAGCCAGGTCTCTCCTTGGTGTGGGGAATGACCCTAGGACCGCTCCCTACCTAAGTCACTGCGGAAACTGAAGCCCAGAAAGGTCGAGTGGCTTGTTCAAGGTTAAACAGCCCATACGTGATGGAACCATGGTTTAAACCCAATTCCTAAATCAGATCCTAAATCCCTTCTTCTTTCTACAGCTTTTGCCTGGTTTCAAGCTTTAGACCTGAGGTTCCCCAAGCACCTCCCTGATGGTATCATTTGAAACAGTGGTTCTAGTGAGAGTTACATGGGAGCCCTTAAAAATTACCTATAACCAGTGCCCACCATCCCCCACCAACAAACTCTGGTTCAAATGGTTCAGAGAAGACCCTAGACATCCAGACTTTTAAAATCTCCATGGGAGATATTGAGACCTGTGGGTTTGGAACGGCTGACTATGCAGAGAGCAAGTTTTCTTGGGGAGTCATGCTTGACCGTGTCCACCTAACCCACTTCTGATTTGAAACGTGCGTCTTTTCTCTCTGAGCTGGATCTTACAAGAAACCTTCCTCCAGGGAAGGTCGTCCAAGTGGGCATCCATGGAAGGGCTATCTGGCCCTCCTCGTCCTCCTTCCTGGAGGCCTGCACCTATGCGGGGTGCTGCCTTGGATCCAGAGGGAGAGGCACCCACCCAGCAGCACTCACCAGGCTGTGCTGGGCCTGCAGCTCAATCTCCAGTGTGTTGATTGTGCGTCTCAGGTCAATGATATCCGACTGGTAGCTCTGAAGCTGCTCGGAGCTTGTGGCCACCTGCTGGCTGAGCTCCTCCATCTATAGAGGGGACAGGAGAAGGCTAAGAGTCCCTCCCTAGGGATCCTGAGCAGGCCAACGGACACTGTGAAAGGCCCACCTGCACATTGAACCATTCCTCCACGTCCCTGCGGTTGGTCTCCACCATGGTCTCATACTGACACCGCATCTCGTCCAGCACCCTGGTCAGGTCCACGGGGGGTGCAGCATCCACCTCAATGTTAAGGCGGTCCCCAAGCTGACATCGGAGGGCACTGACTTCCTGAAAAGGCACAAGAGTCCCAGGCAGGCATGAATAATCGCACAATCCCAGCTCACCTCCCAAGGAGACATAAAAAGATGCAATAAAAGATGTGAAAGATTGCATTAGAGAGGCCCTCTGAGGCCTGCAGTCCACTCTGGGGCATCTCATTGGTCTTTTGAGTTTAGTTTGACACCTCTGTAACAGGAAGCTCACTCCAACACCTTCTACCACTTTGATGGAAGTCAAAAGTAGTGTCAGGGTTTGTTCAATCCATTTGGGCTAAAATGAGAAACCCACAACCCCAGTCTTCCCAGTCACTCTCCCAGCCCATGTTCTTCCCAGAAGGAGCCTAGCTTGACTAATTCAAGGCCAGAGTTGGAATGGGCGCCTCCCAGGCTTGGCTGCCAAAGAGAGAAAGTTGTCACTGAGGCTGCCAGAGGGTGCGATAACTCCTCATTAGTGGCTTCTTGGTGCCGTTCCCGGTTCTCTGATTTCAATGGGATGAGTCAGGTGCCCTAGGGTGCAGGGTGTACGTGGTGACTGATAGTTATTTTATGCTTAAGCCTAAGGAAACCCAGCCAGGATTGGGAGGTACTTGTTCATTCAAATCCCAAGTCAAGAGGTTGAGAGTCACCAGGGAAGGAAAGGAAAACGCCATGGCTCAGGTGGACTTTGGGGAGAGAGGTACCCAGAGTAGACAGCTTGCCCTCCCAGAACTGGGAGATGAGGAAAAATCAGAAAGGAAAGGACTCGCCTGTGACTTCAGCTTAACTATATTATTTGCAAACAGAAGAAAGAATGGGAGGCCAGGCATGCCTGTAATCCCAGCCCTTTGAGTCAGAAGCAAAATGATTGCTTGAGCCCAGGAGTTGAAAACCAACCCAAGCAACATAACAAGATCTTGTCTCTACAAAAAAAATTTTAAAAATTAGCTGGACATGGTGGCATGGACCTGTAGTACCAGCTACTTTGGAGGCTGAGGCGGAAGGATCATCTAAGTCCAGGAGGTTGAGGTTTTAGTGAGCCCTGATCATGCCACTGCACTCCAGCCTGGGCTATAAAGATCCCCCAAACGCAAAAAAGAAGAGGAGGAGAAGGAGGAAGAGGAGAAGGAGAAGAGAGAATGGGCTAGGAGGATAGGGACCGAAAGAGGACAAAACCTCTACTGCACCCAGCAGCCCAGCTCAACTGAGATGGGCAGGCCATTTGATGTGAGTTCCAGAACTGGCCCTACCGCACCACCCTACCTCTGGTATGTGACTCTCATGTGACAACAAATGTAGCCGCTGTGAGTGAGCACTTAACGGTCACACTTGTCCAGCAAATGCAGAACAGAAGAACCACATTTCCAACCAGCTACCAAGTAGCGGGTACAAAACCATATCTCTGCCCTGGATCATTTCTGTGATTCATACTATATTCACTAAACTCTCACCATCACCCGAAGGGATAGTGTTAGACCTGTTTCACAGTTGAGGAGGCACAGAAAGGTTCCATAAATTGGGCAAAGGCACTGAAACAACACATGGCAGACTTGAGTTTCAATCCATGTCCATCCAACCCCCAGCCCCACGTTCTTCCCCGCTGCCTCCCGGGGCCTCCTTGGCACGACTTCCAGCCTAACCTCCTCATGGTTCTTCTTGAGACAGAGCAGCTCCTCCTTCAGGGACTCCACCTGGGCCTCCAGGTCAGCTTTGCACAGGGTCAAGTCATCCAAGATCCTGCGCAGCCCATTAATGTCGGCCTCTACCAGCTGCCGCATGGCCAGCTCTGCCTCGTACCTGCAGAGGTATAGGAGGAGGGGGAATGGGGGTTGCTGAACACAGAACTCAGGGAAGACCTTGAACTGCCAGCGCTTTCCAACCCTCTGTGAAATGAACAGAAAGCTGTCCCAAGAGTGTGTGGGGACAGGACCTTCCCTGCCCCCAGACCCCTGGCCAGACTCACTTGGTCCGGAAGTCGTCAGCAGCCAGCTTGGCGTTATCAATGTGCACGACCATCCTGGCATTCTCTGCCCTGGTGCACAGAATCTGAGGGTGGAGGTTAGTTCAGCGTGGGAAGAAGGAAAAAGAACCCAAGTGAGGAGGAGGCAGAAGCAAAGACTGGACTCGCCAGCCCTGCCACCAGCCCTGCAGAAGCTCCTCCCCCTTGGAACTCTGGGGGACACTGAACTGCGGGTGCCTACAGAACTTGATGTTTCTTTTTTAAGCACCTGAGGTTTCATAAATCCAAATTCCCCTGTTGGATGAACGCTCTGAGCAATGTAGAAGAGAAAAAAATCTCGTTATATCTGAAGTCATTTGTGGGATACAAGGATCCTTGACACTTACTGAAAACTCATCATGTTCCAGAGGATGTTCCAAAAACTTTGCCTGCATTGTTTCATGGAATCCTCTTGACAACCCCATTAGATAAGGATCATTGCTATCCCCATTTTACAGATAAGGAAACTGAGACCTGGGGAAGGGAAGTCATCCAGTGAGGTAACAGGAGCCCTGAGACCAGGTCCCAGGTCTCTCTTCACATCAAGGGCTCTGGCTTGGTGCTCAGATTATGAGATAACCCTGTGCCCTGGAGAGAGGTCTCTTTTTCCTGAATGCAGCTAACGAGATTCAAATCTGGAATGCCAACCCAACCGATGCCTTCCCAGAGAATCTGTTCGCCTCAGCACTCGCCCTCACCTTCTGCTGGAGCTCTTCTATGGTCCTGAAGTAAGACTGGTAGTCAGGGCACAGGGTGACCACCTGGGCCTGGCAGGCCTCTTGGATCTTGCCCTCTAGTTCTGCATTCTCCCGCTCCAGCTGGCGCACCTTCTCCATGTAGCTGGCCAGGCGGTCATTCAGGAACTGCATGGTCTCCTTCTCATTGCCATTGAAGGAGCCCTCACGGAACCATCCACAGGTGCCCATGGAGCTGGCAATGCCACTGACTGGCCGGCAGCTGCTGGGCTGGTAGGAGCTGGACAGGTAGGTCTTGGAGAAGCCGCTGGCTGGCCGGAAGGTGGTGGGCATGCAGATGGAAGACAGGCATGCCATGGGCTGGCAGACATAGCCCAGGCACAGCTCAGGCCGGCCACTCATGCTGCTGGAGCAGACGGAGAAAGGCCGGGGACAGCTCTTTACAGAAGTTTGCAAGCTATTGGTGACACAGCAGTTGGATGTCATGTTGGGGAGGCCCTTTCTCCTCAGCGGCAACTACCTGGATGTCGACAGATCCCACCCTGCCTGGGCCTTTTTATACTCTTGGAATGAGGGGGCTCAAGTCAGAGAGTCTTTGTGGGGCGGTATTGATGCATACACTCAGCCCCAGAGGAAGCTGCTAATTAATCTGTAATTTGGTCTCAAATGAGGAGTTCCTTTCCTCGTAAAAGAAACCAAGCTTATCATTTGGCTAAAGCAGGACTCTGAGCTCCTGTCATTGATCACCAGGGGACGGCTTTGGGACACATCTTCAAAGAGTCAACCCCATACCTGAGCCCTCATTACCCGGGCGGGGCTGTCAGGAGACCACCCCAGCCTGGCCCCATGCCACCATAGGCCTGGCACACTGCACCCCCGCCTGCTCCGGCCCTGAGAAGCCTGCAGGTCTGTGGGCAGCAGCTGCTCCTTTAATGAAAGCATTCCCTGTGGGAAGAGGCCTGGCCACTGAATGAGAAAATGCGTGGGTGACGAGAGCTGCACTGATACTAGCAGTGGCATAAATCCAGGGAGATGGGAAGAGAAACTTCAGAGGCTTCCTAACATGCATTGTCTTCTACCAAGGCGGAGAAAATTATAGCGGGGGAGAGAATAAACTCAAGACACTGATAGATCACTTCTCAGCCTTGTGGCTACAATCAAGTGTAATATCTCTTCTTATCAGTTGAATATCTGTTACGTCCTCTATCCGAGGACCATCTATTAAATGGGGTGATGGAGCAGGGAATTGGAAGAGGAGCTTGCTCTGTCCACTCCACACAACGACCTGGTATTGCAGGAACAGTGCCCCATCTCCAAAAGAAAAAAAAAGACACCAACAGAAAGCCCAAGTATCAAGGACATCCTTCCAACCGGACCTTCCTCTTGGAAAAGTAGACCAGTATCACGAACATCCCTGGGAGGCTGATGCTCCGTCTTGACCACCTGAGTCCTCCACTCAATCATCGCCAGACCATGTGCAGGATTGTTGAATGCATGATTATTGTTTGTTGAACAGACTGATCTAGAGCAATCAGAACAGGCTATGTTTTCACTTTTTGCAGTAGCAGACAGGGAGGGCTCCCTTCAGGACCTCAGCGCATGAAAGCCGTATGAATCTGCTCCCTTGAGAAGGATGCTCTGCAGCCCTGGGATGAGTTGCACCAGGAAACAGGGAGCAGGCGTCCCAGTCTAGAGGCCTTGGGTGTTCACTAAGGAAGCAACATGCTAGATGGGTGGGTTTTAGTTCTAGCTGTAAAAACTGTGTGCTCACCCGCTTCCCGTGTACTATGCATGTGTTATTACAGCCACTTTTTATTTACTAACCTCCACAGAAGAATTCTGGGATATGAGAACCTGTCTTATTTTTCATCCATTCCCAGAAGTATTGGTAAAAGGGGCAGAAAAGGGAACAAATCAGCCCTTCCACTGCATAAGAAGAATCAGGCTACAGATGCTGCCTCTAGGAAGACACTTTGCCTCTCTGGGTCTCAGTTTTCTCATGCAAATTGAAATAACATTGCAACTAATTCTCTGCAACAGCCATAAATTCCAGTGCCTTGTCTGGATCGCTGTTTTAGAGAAGATGGTAGCATCTCATGGAAAGAGCTGTGCTGGTGATACCCACTACGTGGAATGACACTCACCAGGCCACCCTTCAGAATCACAATCAGCGCTTTTTGAATGTATACAGGTGCCAGCACAGCGCTGGGTGCTTGGCATTGCCCATTTAATCCTCTCCTTGAAAACCTGTAAGTTAATTATTACTATTAACAAGCTGCATCAGTGGTTCTCACAGTGCGGTCCCCAAAGTAGCATCAGCCTCACTCAGGAACATGTTAGAAGTGAATTTTTCAGGCTCATCCTAGACCTTCTGAATCAGCAACTCTGAGGGCAGGGCCCAGCAATCTGTGCTTAGCGAGTCCCCCAGGGGGTCTTGAGAACCACTGAGGTAGAGGAAGATACAGGCATGCCTCGGAGAGATTGCCAGTTTAGTTCCAGACACTCAAAAAGCAAATATCACAGTACAGTGAGTCACACAAATGAGGTGGACCCCCGGTGTATACAAAAGTTATGTTTATACTATTCTGTAGCCTATTAAGTGTGCGATTGCATTGTGTCTAAAAAACAACATATACACCTAATTTTAAAATGCTTGATTGCTAAAAAGTGCTAACAATCATCTGAGCCTCCAGCGAGTTGGGGTCTTTTTGCCAGCAGATGGTCTCACCTTGATGCTGATGTCTGCTGGATGTATCAGGGTGGTAGTTGCTGAAGGCTGGGGTGGCTGTGGTAATTTCATAAAATAAGATAACAATCAAGTTTGCCACATAGTTGACTCTTCCTTTCCCAAAAGATTTCTGTGTAGCATGCGGTGCTGTTTGTTAGCATTTTATCCAAGGTAGAACTTATTTCAAAATTGGACTCAGGCTGGGCACAATGGCTTATGCCTATAATCCCAGCACTTTGGGAGGCCAAGGCAGGAGGACTGCTTGAGCCTAGGAGTTCGAGACCAGCCTAGGCAATATAGCGAGATCTCATCTCTAGCAAAAAAAAAAAATCAAAAACATAACTAAGTGTGGTGGTGTCCACCTGTAGTCTCAGCTTCTTGGGAGGCTAAGATGGAAGGATCACCTAAGCCCAGGAGAGCTCAATGAACTGTGATCACTGCAGACTGAGTAGATCGAGACTGTCGTGAGCTGTGATTGTGTCACACTGCACTCCAGCCTTGGTGGCAGAGTGAGATCCCGACTTTAAAATTGGAGTCAATTCTTTCAGATCCTGACACTGCTTTATCAGCTAAGTTTATGTAACATTCTAAGTCCTTTGTCATCATTTCAACAATATTCACAGCATCTTCATCAGGAGTAGATTTCATCTCAAGAAATCACTTTCTTTGCTCAGTCATAAAAAGCAACTCCCTATCCAGTCAAGTTTTATCATGAGACTGCAGCAATTCAGTCATGTCTTCAGGCTCCACTTCTAGTTCTACTCTTGTTATTTCCACCGTCTGCAGTGACTTCCTCCACTGAAGTCTTGAACCCTTCAAAGTCACCCATGAGGTTTAGAATTAACCTCTTCCAAACTCCTATTAATGTGGATATTTTTGTCTCTTCTTGTGAATCACAAATGTTCTTAATGGCACCTAGAATAGTGGATCCTTTCCAGAAGGTTTTTAATTTACTTTATCCTGACAGCCATAGCCTTAAGAAATGTATTTCTTAAATAATAAGACTTGAAAGTCAAAATTACTTCTTTATCCATGGTTTGAAGAATGAATATTATGTTAGCAGGCATGAAAACAACGTTCATCTCCTTGTACTTTTCCATCAGAGCTCTTGGGTAACCAGGTGCATGAATATTTTGAAAGGAATTTTTTTTGTCTGAGCAGTAGGTCTCAACAGTTGGCTTAAAATATTCAGTAAACCATGCTGTACCCAGATGTGCTGTCATTCAGGCTTTGTTTTTGTTTTGTTTTGTTTTTTATTTATAGACCACTGGCAGAATAGATTTAACACACTCTTCAGGGCCCTAGGATTTTCAGAATGGTCAGTGAGCATCGGCTTCAACTTAAAGTCACTAACTGCATTAACCCTTTAACAAGAGAGTCGGCCTGTCCTTTGAAGCTTTTAAAACAGACATTGACTTCTCCTCTCCAGCTATGAAAGTGCTAAATGGCATCTTCTTCCAATAGAAGCCTATCTCATCTACACTGAAAATCTGCTGTTTAGATAGCCACTTCCATCCGTGATCTTAGCTAGATCATCTGGAGAGCTCACTGCACCTTCTCCATCAGCACCTGCTGCTTCACCTGCATTTTTATGTCATGGAGATGGTTTATTTCCTTCAACCTCATGAACCAGCCTCTGCAAGCTTCCTCCACTGAAGTCTTGAACCCTTCAAAGTCACCCATGAGGTTTAGAATTAACCTCTTCCAAACTCCTATTAATGTGGATATTTTTGTCTCTTCTTGTGAATCACAAATTTTCTGGTGCAGCCTTCCTCACCTCTCTCAGCCTTCATGAAATTGAAGAGAGTCAGGGTCTTGCTCTGGATGAGGCTTTGGCTTAAGGGAATGTTGTGGTTGGTTTGCTCTTCTATCCAGACCACTCATACTTTCTCCATGCCAGCAATAAGGCTGTTTCACTTTCTTACCGTTCATGTGTTCCCTGAGGTAGCACTTTTGGCTTCCTTCCCTTTGCATTCACAACCAGGATGTTTGGTGCAAGAGGCCTAGCTTTTGGCCTAGCTTAGCTTTCAACATGCTTTCCTCACTAAATTTAATCATTTCTAGTTTTTGATTTAAAGTGAGAGATGTATGACTCTTCCTTTCACTTGAGCATTTAGAGGCCATTGTAAGGTTATTAATTGGCTTAATTTTAATATTGTTGTGTCTCAGGGAATAGAAAGACTTGAGGAGAGGGAGAGAGATGGGGAAAGGTCAGTTGGTAGAGCAGTCAGGACACACAACATTTATCAATCAAGTTCGCCGACTGACATGGGCATGATTCGTGGCACCCCGAAACAATTACAATAGGAACATCAAAGATCACTGATCACCATAACAGATATAGTAATGAAAAAGCTCAAAATACTGTGAGAATTACCAAAATGTGACACAGAGACTTGATATGAACACAGGTCGTTGGAATAATGTCGCCAATAGATGTGTTCGACTCAGGGTTGCCACTAATCTCCAATGTATAAAAACCATGATACCTGGAAATACCATAAGTTGAAGCACTCACTGTACAACAAGGTATGCTATATATTTTACAGCTGCCACCAGAATTCCGCTTGTGGAAAAAAAAAAAATCTGTCTTTCCTTGAAAAGCTACAATAGTAGGTTCTTGGGGTCAAAGGTGGGGCCCGGCTCCTTGATTTGGGAAGACATCAAAGGGAGAAAGGGGAGAAGTTGAAGCTCACAGGACAATCATGGAGGAAGGAGTGAGAAGGAGAAGTAGACGGAAGCTGGGAGCAGCAGCACCTAGAGGGTGCTAAGAGGCTGTCACCGTGTGGTGTGGCCCCAGATGCTCAACATGAGCAAGGTGATAGAGGGAACAGCATCGGTCAAAGCCAGAAGACCACAGTTCCAGCCAGAATGCCGGATCTGTAGTGTGTCCCATGGGTAAAGAAGGGGAAACTGGGCAAGGCACCCACAGAGAAAGAGGGGGCACAGTTGGTTCCCAGACCAAAATCCTCCCACTGTGGCCCAACCTCTCTGGGGACAAAGCAAACTATCGAGCAGATAAGTTCAGGGAGGGAAAGGAATTTGAAGAATCCAGGAGAAAAGATCTTTTTGAACAAGGTTAGGTGGGAAGCACACTGGGTCCCAGCCCAAGACTTTCGACCTTCCTCCATTCCCCTGCCAAAAATTAGAAGCTCTTTCTAAAAATTAAAGTTTAATTTTTTTTTTAAAAAGGCAGATAAACCCCAGAGGAAAAAAACTTACAGAAACTGAATTTAGGTAGTTTTACCACTCAAAAAGCCAGCTTACCAACCTGCCTGCCCGCATAGCACCTTCCATCGGCTTTTCAGTGTTTCATCATTAAATATAAAAAAAGGATGGCCTGATACTTGAAGGAAGCCTCCAAGATTAAAAACAGAGACAAAATAAAACAAACAAGATAGGAAATTGAGGAAAACAGAAACAACGCAGAATCCAAAACTCTCTATTTTTAAGTGTTAACCTCAGAGATAAATATTGCAGTTATAGCCATGAAACAAGAGCTGAGTGTTATAAAAGAAAAACAAACTGAATTTTAAAATGACATTTTAGATATAAGAATACGATCACTAAAATTGAAAGCTTAGATCTAATGTTTAAAATTGCAAGACAAAAAAAAGAAATTGAAAGACAGAGACAAGGCAAAACTCAGTAACAGTCAGAAGTATAATAGCACCAAGCACCAATAGCACCTGATAGCACCATGTTTCACGTCAGAGCTGCACTGGGCCCTCACCCTCTGCACTGTGTTGCCCAAAGACCCTGCACCCGATGGATGAGCCCTCAGCCCTGCTGCACATTAGAAGCACCTCGAGAGCTTTCAGAACTCCCAACACCAGACCATATCCCAGACCAACGAAGTCAGAAATTCTTGGGTCAGAGCAGGCATCATATTTTTATAAAGCTCTCCAGGCCTTTCCAACGTGCAGGCAAGGTTAAGAACATCTGGCTGAGTGGAAACAGTATCATAATTAACAAGCACAAGTGAGTGAAGTAAATAATCATTAGAGGCAGGGTAACACATGATCTGTCAGCTCCATCTTGGAGGGAGCTGCTGGGATAGGCTTGGAAGGGGCTTGTGCTACAAAGAACATCATAAATAAGAGCATGACATACAGAAAACAGAGGTGACAGGGGCCCATGTGCTCGAGAGACATTCACGTGCTACTAACTGTGATATCCCCACTGACTTTGGTGGGGGTGATGAACCATGTGACTGCATATCCACTTCGGCTGGCCTGGCCTGGCCTGGGCATGACTGACTGGAAGGAAACCTCAGAAATGAAACCCTGGGCAGAGAAAGAGTGGATGCCTACCCTCAGAGCAACCCAGTCATCCTTCCAGCTAAAAGAGAGAGTATATACATACTTGTGGGGGGAGGGGGGAGAGAGAGAGAGAGAGAAGGGGGAGATAGGGACAGAGACAGAGAAAGAGAGTCTCACTCTGTCACCCAGGCTGGAGTACAATGGCACAATCAAGGCTCACTTCAGCTTTGAACTCCTGGGCTCAAGCGATCCTCACTCCCTTAGCCTCCCAAGTAGCTGGAACCACAGGCACACCACCATACCTGCCTAGTTTTTTTTTAAATAGAGATGACGGTCTCACTATGTTTCCCAAGCTGGCCTCGAACTCCCAGTTTCAAGCATTCCTCTGGCCTCAGCCTCCCAAAGTGCTGGAAAATCAGGTGTAGTCCACTGTGCCCAGGATAAGAGAGCGCCAATATTAATGACCAGTCTTCAAATGCCCAGCCCGTACTTCACAGTGTAAGTGTCATGTTCTCTGTTTTACTGAGGAGCAAACTGAGACTCAGAAAAGAACCGTGACCTGCTAAAGTTCCCATATGTAGTGAATGGTGGGGTGGGGATGTGAACCCTGGTCCATCTGACTCTGTATTCAGAGCCCACGTTTGTTACACTGATGTGAAGACCCCCTTCAGCCAGTCTCCTGCTACCACTGAGGTAGAAAGGAAAAGAAGGAGAGAGTGAGCCCCCTTCCTGCCCCAATCCAAACCTCCCTCTCCCGCGGACCAGTCCTGCCACTGGTGCCTAAAACACTGCCTTGCACAGGGGGACATTCAGGAAGGGTTTGTTGAATGAAGCAAATGCTCTTGAGACCACCCTTTGGGGTGCCTGAGCCTCAGCAAAATCAGTCAGGGAGTTCCCAGAAGCCTGACCGAGGTGGCCGTGGATGCCAGGAGGAAGGGAGCCGGGAGAAACCAATGGCGCAGGCCCTTCTCTAAGGGAGGGAGATGAAGGAGTCTACAGACGAATCAGAGGGAACTATACCAGGCGCCCTTAAGGGGCGGGTCTTGGGCTTGCCTTGGTCAGCACCTGTCACCAATCTGTTCTCTACTTTGGTCCTGTGACAGCTCTCTCTGAAGTCCCTTAGCAAGTGCCCTCGGCTTCTTATGGGGAGCACGTGGCCATCTGGGGACAGGCCGCCTTCCTGTGGAGCTTGCTATTTGTCTAATCTGCTTGGGGAGGACATGCTGGATACAGATAAGAGCCTTTGGGCCACGGTGCTGGGAGATCCCACCCCTATCTTTGGAGGCCCCTTCGTACGCCTCAGCAGATGTAAGAGCACACAAGAAGGCAGACACAACAATGTGCACAAGACTCTTAAGGATGAGAATCGAACCTCAGGATTAGGGATGAAAGTCCCAATAGTGGGCTCACTCTCTGTCTCCTGCTTGTGGTGGGCTGTGGACTGTTAAGGGAGTTGCTGAACTGGGAGGGTTGGAATGGAAGGGGGTGATGCAACGCACCCAGAAAGGACCCTAGGAGACTGGAATCCTCCCTTCTTCATCCCCCTTAAAAGAGGGCCTGGGTTGCTGCTCTAATGAGGACCACAGGCATGAGGCGAATGATGTGGTCTAAAATGCTTCACATGATACTGATCTCAGTTTCTTTTTTTTTTTGAGTCGGAGTCTCACTCTGTAGTCCAGGCTGGAGTGCAGTGGCAAACTGCTCACACTGCAGCCTTGACCTGCTGGGCTCAGGCAATTCTTCCACCACAGCCTTCCAAGTAGCTGGAACTACAGGCGTGCACCACCACGCCCAGCTAGTTTTTTTATTTATTGTAGAGACAAGGTCTCACCACACCATGTTGCCTAGAACTGGTCTCCAACCCATGGGCACGGGCAATCCTCTTGCCTCTGCCTTCCAAAATGTTAGCATTACAGGTGTGAGCCACCACACCTGGCCTAATCTCAGTTTCATCCATCCTACGCTGGGATCCCAGGGTGACGATGAATACAAAGAGGTACATCAGTAGAGACCTGGCAACACCTGTCACCACATTGGAATCTTGTAGAAAGGCCTTCATCATGGAAGCCAAGTGAAAAATCTCACTGTAGGCCTCTACTCACCCCAAACAGTGGCATAGTGACTCTGTCATCCCAAGGGCCACACTGGGTCACATATTCCCCATTCAACTTCCCAGATGTCACCCCCTGAACTCACTAGAGACACAAACCAACAACCTGAAAGGTGTGATGTAAGCACTGGAAGCCAGAGTAAATGCATTTTATTGTCTTGCCAACAGAAGGCCTCTATTGCCTTTCAGAACTCTCTGGAACAGCACCCAGAAGGAAAGCCTGACCCAGGAGGCTGCCTGAGAATAACCCCGGTGCCCACTGAAATGATGAAGAGTTCAGACCTTTGGGGGCAGCCAGTCTTAGTGACAGGCTCTGAGAAACTCTGAGTCATACATTTGCAGGAAGACCTATCATTGCCAGACCCCGGCCCCGAGCTCTGTGTGGAGAGAGTGGATTGCGTTGCAAGGGTTAGGGTTGGGTGGAGGCCAGGTCCAAGCCCTGGAGATAATGGCCGTGGCCTTCAGGGTCAGCCAATCTCAGAACCGGCCCCCAGGGCAGGGCACACAGATGGGGTGGGGGCTGCAGGTTGTGCGAGCTGTGCCAGAACCACAGGAGGCCACAGGAAGGCAGGGGACACATGGCTTGGAGGGCGAGTAGTCAGGGGCACATGGGTTACAAGGAAGCCTAGGAGGAAAAACAAAATCAGATTACTATGATTTTTCACTTGTTGTCTCCAATAACTCAGAGTAAATCCCAGAATATGCAAACTGGAAGGCACCCTAAAAATCACCTAATCGGCTGGGCTCAGTGGCTCATGCTTATAATCCCAGCACTTTGGGAGGCTGAGGTGAGAGGATTGCCTGAGTCCATGGGTTCGAGACCAGCTTGGGCAACTTGGCAAGACCTCATCTCTACAATAATCAAAAAATTAGCCAGACGTGATGGCGTGTACCTGTAGTTCCAGCTACTTGGAAGGTTGAGGTAGAAGGATCACCTGAGCCTAACAGGTAGAGGCTGCGGCAGCCATGAGCGTGCCACTGCACTCCAGCCTGGGCGACAGAGTGAGACACCATCTCAAAAAAAAAAAAAAATCACCTAATCAGCCGGGTGCAGTGGCTCACATCTGTAATCCCAACACTTTGGGAAACAAAGGCAGGAGGATTATTTGAGCCCAGGAGTTCAAGACCAGTCAAGGCAACATAGCGAGACCCCATCTCTACAAAAAATTGTAAAATTAGCTGAGTGTGGTGGTGCACGCCTGTGGTCTCAGCTACTCAGGAGGCTGAGGTGGAAGGATCACCGGAGCCCAGGAGGTTGAGCCTATGGTGAGCTGTGATTGTGCCACTGCCCTCCAGCCTGGGCAATACAGTGAGACTCCCGACTCAAAAAAAATTATCTAATCCTGCCCCCTCATTTTACCAAGAGGAAAACAGAGACCCAGAGAGAAAAATGGCTTTTGCTGGAGTCATGTGATGAGTTTGTAACAAGACCAGAACTAAATCTCAGGGCGCCTGACTCCAAATGCCCAGCTCTTTTTTGGCACCATGCTGTTTCCTCAGAACTTTGTAGACTGTATTCAGAAGACAGAGAGCATGCAGTGACACTCACTTGCTGTCCTCGCTCTCCAGCAGGCCCCGGTACGTGTCGATCTCGCCCTCCAGCCGCGCCCGGACATCCAGCAGCACCTGGTACTCCTGGCTCTGTCGCTCCAGGTCACAGCGTATCTCGACCAGCTGTTCCTCCACGTTGGTAATTAGGCCCTGCATCTGGGCCAGCTGGGCACTGTAGCGGGCCTCTGTCTCTGCCAGGGTGGACTCCAAAGTGTCTCTCTGTGAGAGCAAGGGTTGGTAGGGAGGAAGAAGTCTAGAAGCCAGAGAAGGAGCAAGGGAGAGCCATCTGGTCCCAGTGAGGCCTCAGAATCCAAGAGGGAAGCTCCAAGGATCCCTCTGAGTGAGGATGAAGCACATCCAGATATCTCATTCTAGATGAGCCAATTAACCCCTGCAGCTTCCTTGATCTAAGATATCTCCCTATTCATGTCAACTCCAAGTAACAGATAATTACTCAGAAGATGTATTTGCTAACACAAACATAGGAGCCACTGCCCAGACATGTCAGTTGCCACAGGCCTCTTGTCTTTTACCACTGGGGCATTTGGGATCAGGGCAGGGCCTCCATTCCCTCTTCTCCACACAGAGAAGCCCTATTGCTCAAGAATTTGAACCTATGGAGCCTGCCTGTGGTCAGAGCATGGGAGCTGGGGCGTCTGTGTGCTTCTAGGCTTGATCCAGCTCCACTCCATCTCCGGACTCACCATGCTTTGCTGGGCCTGCAGCTCAATCTCCAGGGCGTTGACCGTGCGTCTCAGTTCAATGATCTCCGCCTGGCAAGACTGCAGTTGCTCCGAGCTGGACACCACCTGCTGGTTCAGCTCCTCGGTCTACAACATACACACACACAAGTCCTGGTCAGGAACACTAGGGACTCTGCTTGAGAGCTCTGCAGAGACCGGTTATGGTCACGAGCCAAGAAGGACCTTCCAGACTACCCAGTGCAACCCATTCATTGCCCACTTGCTCAGAGGACCACAGCCCACCCAAGGCTGCACAGCAAGGTCAAAACAGCTGGGACTCAAATTCAGTCTTCTTGACTCGGAGTTCCGGGCTCCCTTCTGTGTGACCCACCATGTGCCTCTGCTGCACTGACTGTTTCCAGGTCCCTACCTGGGTGTCAAACCAGTCTTCTGCGTCCCGGCGGTTATTCTCCACAAGGGTCTCATACTGACACCTCATCTCATCCAGAACTCGGTTCAGGTCAACCGGTGGGGCAGCGTCCACCTCGACATTGAGGCGGTCACCAAGCTGGCAGCGCAGTGCATTCACTTCCTGTGGCACAGACCAGGGTCAGCACTATCTGTCCTAGCTTGCTGCCTCTCATATCATCTGTTCCCTATGTCACCTGCTCTTCATGTCACTCTCTCATTCTCACCTCCTCCCCATATCACTTCCTCCCCATGTCACCTCCTGCCCATGCTCACCTCCTGCCCATGTCACCTGTTCCCCATGTCACCTTCTCATTCATACCTCCTCCCCATGTCACTTGTTCCCTATGTCACCTCTTCCCCATGTCACCTGGTCCCCATGTCACCTGTTCCCATGTCACTTTCTCATTCTCACCTCCTCCCCATGCTCACCTCCTGCCCATGTCACCTGTTCCCCATGTCACCTTCTCATTCATACCTCCTCCCCATGTCACTTGTTCCCTATGTCACCTCTTCCCCATGTCACCTGGTCCCCATGTCACCTGTTCCCATGTCACTTTCTCATTCTCACTTCCTCCCCATGTCACCTCCTCCCCATCCTTACCTCCTCGTGGTTCTTCTTGAGGCACATCAGCTCCTCCTTCAGGGACTCGACCTGGGCCTCCAGGTCCGATTTGCACAGGGTCAGATCATCCAGGATCCTGCGCAACCCGTTGATGTCAGCCTCCACCAGCTGCCGCAGGGACACCTCCGTCTCATACCTGCAGGCACAGAACAAGGCCCCTGCATCTGCAACTCCTTTTCATACCTAAGTTGGATCTATCCCCAGACTGGCCAAGTGCTGTGAGTCCTGCCTTCATGCTACCATGACAGAAGGCAGCCAAAACCCTGAGTCCGGGCATCCACGGGTCCGGTTCAATGAGCCCCTAGCCACGGGGCCAGCAGGACAACTCACTTGGTCCTGAAGTCGTCAGCAGCCAGCTTGGCATTGTCGATCTGTACCACCAGCCTGGCATTCTCCGCCTTGCTGCACAGGGTCTGTGAACATAAATAAGTTGTTTCAGTGCAAGGAGGAACTTTCTGCTGGTTGGAGGTCCCCAGAGCTGGCAGGAGCTGCCTCTGGGGGAAGAACATCACCCATCCTGGACTCCTGGGGCTCCATGAGCACTTGAGGACATGTCATAGGGATCAGACCATGGACCCCTGGGCTCCCTCCCAATGTCACGCGGCTGTGCCCTGTGACCGGGGCTAGCGAGAAGGGCGTGAACATGCAGCAGGCAAGGCCCAGCATGGTGGAACAAGGCTTCTTCCTGCCATCCTGTCTCCCAGGCCTAGTGGGGCCCCAGGGCAGGTTCTTGCCAACAGTGTGCCCTGAGAGCCTCTGGTCATAAATGGTCCTTCTCCGAGCCAGCTGTGATTTTCAGAAGTTGTAGAATGGGAGAAGAGGGAGAAAACTTCTCTGATCGGCGTTTGCTTCCCAGAGTTACTTATGGGAAACCTGAGCCACACTAAATACCTCAGATCTGATCCCCTCACCTTGAATAAGTGAGAGAATGAAAACTTAGAGAGTCGGGTGGTGGCACCAAAAGTCACACAACTGGTTAGTTCACAGAGCCCGTGTTTAAACCCTGGCTCCACTCACAGGCATCTGGGTCACTCAGCCAGCCTGAGCCTCAGCATTCTTATCTGTATAATGGGCTAATGATACCTCCCTCATAAGGTTACTGGGAGGGACAAAAGAGGCCACAGAGGTGAACACACTCGGTGACCTCCCGAGTGCCTCATGAGAGCAGAACCGCCAGTGCTGGGGACACCAAGTCCCCGGGATGCCGAAACCACTCTGAGTCTCTCACCTTCTTCTGGAGCTCCTCGGTGGTCTTGAAGTAGGACTGGTAGTCAGGGCACATGAAGGGTACCTGCTGCTGGCACCACTCGCGGATGCGGCCCTCCAACTCCAAGTTCTCCCGCTCCAACTGGCGCACCTTCTCCAGGTAGCTGGCCAGGCGGTTGTTCAAGAACTGCATGGTCTCCTTCTCATGGCCAGTGAGGATGCCCTCCCCAAACCAGTCCCCACCCATGCTGTAGCTGGTGGCGAAGCCCCCGACGGGGAGGCAGAGAGCAGGGAGGCTGCTGGCCGCCCGGTAGCTGCTTCTGCCCAGTCCGGTGGAGCACGCAGAGAAACTCCGGGCCCCGCGAGAGAGACCAGGGAGCTTGCAAGAGCTGCTGGAATTCATCGTGGACACGCGAGTCGAGACCCCACCAGCCCCTCCTGGGCTCTTGAGAGACCCAGAAGAGAAACCAGCCTGGAGGCATTTGGAAGCCATGGCCTCAGTAACCTGGGTGCGAGTGATGGGTCTCTGGGTCCAGACACCCCCAAAGCAGAGATCCTCCTCAGCCCGAATTTATATCTCTGCCCCAGTGGGCGTTGGTTGGCTTTGACACAGTGTTTTCACCTCATTAAAGTTAATACCACTTTCTATCAAAGCCCTCATTAACCTGTTATTTAGCTTTTCGTGAACAGTTCCTGGCCTCGTAAAATAGGAGCCCCGTTGGACTCACCTCCACGACTCCATGTCACTGGAAACACCAAGTCTCCATCAGTTCTTCAAAGGGCCTGTCATCTGGCTCAGACCTCAGCCTCCTCATCAAGCAGGCGTGGGAGTCCAGCCACTGTCATGACTTTCTCCAGCTTGATCTCCTTTTATGGGCCCAAGGCAGGAGAGGGGACCTAGAGCTGTCTCCCGAGGGAAGAAAGAGCAAACCTGGTTGTTGTGGGAAGACCAGGGTCTTGGGGACAAGGAGACACAGAATTCTCTCAAATTGGTCAAGGAGGTAGGGAGAGGGTGACCCACTCTCCTGGTGTCCCCAGGACTTTTCTGGCTTGAATTCTAACAGTCCCATATGCTGGAGAACCCTCAGTCCTGGACAAAATGGGACAGCTGGTCACCCTAGATACAGCAGAGCCTTGGAGGTCACAACCCTGCTCCCTCCCTTTCAGAGAAACCTGTTCTGACTGTGTAGCCTCCATTCAGCCACATGATTACAGGTCAGGTCATTGGACAGCTGCTCAGAGTGACACCTAGAGCTACATCTGAGAGGACTTGTCTTCTCTGGTCCTGGTTGAAAAGTGGAGAAGTCCTTCCCTTCTGGTTGCCAGAATGGGGGGCAGGGGAGGCAGTTCTTGATTCACAGGAGGCACAAAGAGTTAGACCATCACAGTTTTATCTCTGCCACAGGAGTTGATGGAGATGACAGGCAAAAAGCCTGACAAACTCAATCTGCCAAGCAAGGGAGGCCAGGAAAGGGGCCAGGAGCCGAAAAGTGAGAAGGGAGGAGCTGGGGCCAGGCCTCGTCAGGTGGGACCTGCCTTCTCATCCGCCCTGTGATTTGGGGTCCTGCTCACTCTCTTAGGGACACCAGCAGTACCCAGTCAGCGTGCCCAGCACTTTCCCACGCATGGTCTCACGTAGTCCTCAGAAGTGCTCTGTGATCCTGGACCTGTTATCCCCATCTCGAGGCTGAAGGAATCAAGACTTGGAGGTGATAAGAGCTTGCTGAAGTGCACCAGCTGGCAACTGGCAAAGCCAAGGTGCCAATTCGAGGCTGGCCCTCTCCACTGCACCACCCTGCCTCCACCCCTGCTCTGGAATCCTGTCCCAGACTGCCGGACATGACCTGGGTCTGTGGAAAATGGAGAGGAGAGGATAGGGTGGGCTCCACAGGGGGTTGGCCAACACAGGGGGTGTCTCAGGAGAAGCCACACAGCATCACGGGTACATACAGTCTTGCGGGTTCGAATCCCAATCTCACCATGAGCCAACTGTGTGCCTTAACTTCCCTGGACATCTCTCTCTCTCTCTCTCTCTCTCTCTGTCTCTCTCTCTCTCTCTCTCTCTCTCTCCTTCTGTAAAATGAGAAGAAGATAATAGTTCCTACTTCCTGCAGTTGCTATAAGGATTAAATGAGTTTGAAGCATCTAGAACAGTGCCTGCTCGTGGTAAGTGCTATGACTGCCAGTCCTCATGAAAGGGGAATCTTAGTGTACGGAAACCAGTGATGCTAAGCAGCTGTCCCTAGTGTAGACAGGCTCTGGGCACGCGGGCCACCATCCCACAGGCCAGGTGCATGTGCTTGGGGCCCTCAGATATAGAGCTCCCATGAGTCACAGTGTCCTTCCCATACCCGGGGGCCTGGTGTGACTGGCACAATCCCAGGATCCCATTGGCTGCGTTGGCATGTCCTCCATGGAAATCCATGCCCCAGTGCAAAGGGTGCAGCTGATCTGAGAACCTGTTGAGCCACTTGGGGTATTTGCATTTTCCACCCATGTGGGTCCAGGGCTCCGCCTGGCCCTGCTAAGATGCAGCCTCCCAGGACGGTGTTCTGCATTCAGTAAGGGCCACCCTGGAGCCACAGGACCCAGAGAAGCCACAGCAGTAAGACTGGAAAAGAAAACCATGGAAGCCTCACTCTATGCGCATAGTCCCAGGGGTCTCGTGGATCCCTAGGCAGGGCCCCACACCTGTGCTGCCCAGAAGGGGAACGGAGGTGTTTTGGGTTTGTTTGCTTTTGAGCTGAGGGTCTCACTCTGTTGCCCAGACTGGTCTCGGTCTCCTGGGTTCAAACAATCCTCCCTGAGTCCTGAGTATGTGGGGCTACAGGTGTGCCCCCACCCCCTCACCCTGCTGAGTTTCAAATGCTTTCTCCATGAAGCCCTAATAATGAGGCCGATGGTACCAGCCATGATTCCCTGAGTACTCAGTACCCACTAGGCCCACACTCCCTACACACCTCCTCTCCTTCAGTGCTTTCACAACCTCATGAGACCGGCCTCACCCATAATGCACTTAACAGATGAGCAAACTGAGGCTTGGAACATTCCAGGAGGCTGCCCAAGGTCCCGGCAGAACTAGCATTTGCACGACCATTCAAGCTGCACTATTTTCTTTAAACCCCACACACACCCTGCAACACAGACACAGATAGAAAGGCACTGACTTCCACAGCCGGACCCAATGGTCAGGGTGGGAAATGACTTAGCCGAGGCCCACACAGGCTTCCCAGGGAAGCCACAGGCCAGGCCTTCCAGCTTCAAACCCCATGTTTGCCCCACTGCCTCTGGGTCCCAGTCCCAGCCAGGCCTTCTGCCTGGAGCTTGGCCCCTGCTCCAGCCCTACTGTGCCCTGCCAGCTCTGGAGGCTCCAGCAGTGATCTGTGGTGGACCCATTAGTCCCCATTAACTGATGCTCCCCAACTATCTTGTGTTTCAGCTGTACCGTCCCAGGGGGTCTGTAAGCATGGGGTCAAGGACTGACCTCATTCTTTTTTTGAGGCCTCTGAAGTGTCAACCATGGTGCTGGGCTTCTACTGGGCATCACCATTCTGATATCTCAGAATGAATGAATGAGTGAATGAATGAATGAATGTTTTGCTCATGGTAAACTGTGTTCACGAAGGAAACAAAGAAAGGATTTTGAGAGGACAAGAACATGAAAGGGGAGGGAAAGACAGATGAAAGGAGAGAAGTGTATGGAGGGAGGCAAGAAAGACACTGACTTTGTCTCACTATTCCCACTCTTATGAATGAGGAAACTGAGGCTCAGAGATGGAAAGGGGCTGGTCATCTGTGGAGGTGAACAGCACCTGCCTGGACTAAGCCCTTTGGCAGAGAGCAAAGTGTTCTATGGACCAAAAGTCATTCTGCCCAAGGAAGACTGGACTCATAGACCAGCACAGCAATGAAATTGTAGCTAGAAAAATCCTGGGCTCAGTGGCTCAGCCTGTAATACCAGCACTTTGGGAGGCCGAGGCAAGTGGACTGCCTGAGTCCGCGGGTTGGAAACATACCTGGGCAATTTGGCGAGACCTCGTCTCTACAATAAATCAAAAATTAGCCGGGTGTGGTAGCATGCCATGGAAGGCTGAGGCGGAAGGATCACTGGAGCCCAGCAGGTTGAGGCTGCGGTGGCCTGAAGCGTGCTGCTACACTCCAGTCTGGGCAATGGAGTGAGACTCCAACTCAAAAAAAAAGAAAAATCCTGATAAGATTAGTAGATGAGGCCAGGCTCGGTGGCTCAGCCTGTAATCCCAGCACTTTGGGAGGCCGAGGCGAGTGGATTGCCTGAGTCTGTGGGTTCGAGACCAGCCCTGGAAACTTGGCAAGACCTCGTCTCTAAAATAAATCAAAAATTAACCAGGCATAGTAGTGTGCGCCTGTAGTTCTGGCTACTTGGAAGGCTGAGGCATAAGGATCGCCGGAACCCCATAGGTCAACGCTGGGATTGCAGTGAGTGTGCCACTGCCCTCCAGCCTGAATGACGGAGTGAGACTCCAACTCAAAAAGAAAAAAAGATTAATAGATGAAAAAAATTCTTTTAGATGACTTTGTAAAACACATACACATACTCACATAAGTAATAATTTGGTTGTTTTTGAGGTGGGGTCTCACTTTGTTGCCCCGGCTGGAGTACAGTAGCATGATCACAGCTTGCTGCGGCCTCAACCTCCTGGGCTCAGGCGGTTCTTCTGCCTCAGCCTCCCAAGTAGCTGGGACCACAGGAGCGTACCACCAGACGTGGCTAAGTTTTTTTATTTTTTTGTAGAAATGAGGTCTCATTATGTTGCTAAGGCTGGTCTCGAACTCCTGCCTCAGCTTCCTAAAGTGCTGGGATTAAAAGTGTGAGCCACTATACCCAACCTAAGTCATGTTTTTACAGCTATGAATTTCTCTTGTCTATTTCCATTCTTTTTTAGCATCCTTTTTCAAAGAACAAAATAATTACCAGCAAAAACTCAACACTGAGCATCTGAATACCTTTCCTTACAGAATCTTTGCAGTCTGCTCAGATGGGGTCCATGCGCTCTCCACAACATGCCATGGACACAAAAATACTTTTGGCCATCCTTCTTTCCTTCCTTCCTTCTTTTTCTGCCCATCCTTGGTGGTTTCAAACCCAAATCTGCTTTCTCTGGTCACCCCAGCTCTCAATGATCACTCCCACTCCAGGGAACCCGAAACCCTGCCCCACACCTGTTCCTGCCATCCCAGGTGGCAAAGTATGGGTGTGAGGGAAGGTCTCTGCAGCTGGACGTGAGTGCCTCGGGACCTGTGCCTCTCACCCACACTTTGATCCGACCGCTTCTGTCTCCCCTGCTCCTCTCTGATGAACTCTGGCTTTGGAACTGGATCTGCTGTGTATGTGCACTCTCCTTTATCTCTCAGTTGATTAATTGAAGTGTGTGTATGTGTGAATGAGAAAGACAGCCAGATATCCCACCTGGAAAGTACAAAAATACCTTGAAATAATAAAGCATCACGCCCACTCTGGGGAAGTTTTATATCATCTTTCTCTTGATATCGATTACATAGGCTCCCAAAGGCCTGAGATGTCCTAAACTGCCATGTGTTTGTGACTTTGGCCCGGTCAACGCCCACCCCCCCCAAGTGTGGAATTCTAGCTTGCACATCAGTCAGTGATGTCCATTGGAACTCAGTTAAAGGTGTGTGAAGTTGAGATGGGAGTGAGTTCCTTACTTAATGCAGAAGCTTTGCAAAGTTTAATTAAAAGCTTGGTAAAGATGCATAATAAGGTGCCCACAGCCACACAGAGCTGTCTGTGTGCATGAGATGAGGCTGTGAGTGGCCCCTGCAGACTGTAGACTGACCATAAAAAGGGAAAGCCCTGAATGCACAAGGCGTTGGAGGTCACCCTGTACAGTGTGTCCACTCCAACGCAGTGCCAAGGCAGCTGGGCTGTTTCCCAATCAGAAGGCTCAGTCCATTCCCTGCTCTCCGACTGCTTCCATGTGGAGGTGTGGTGCTCTCTTTGCGTGGCCATCACTCACCTCTCATCCCCTGGGTCTCAGGCCAGAGCCAGAGTTGCTGACCTCAGACCCCAGAGCAGAGGTGGAGTAGCAAGGGAGACTGGTCCTCTCGCCCAAAGCCGAGCGTGTTCTCTGAGGTTAAGCCTGGGGTTCACTGTCCAGCTCTAAAGATGCTGCATAGCCCACCCCATCCCCACCCCACCATTCTTCCAGGTACAAAGAGCCTGGTCCACCTGGTGGGATTTCCTATTCCCCACTCTGAGCCCCAGGAACTAACACCAACCCTGACAGCTACCGCATTTTGGAAGCTGCACACACATTGCTGCACACACGTTGAAGCCTCCTGGCAGCCCTATTTCACAGGTGAACCAGCTGAGACCAAAGAGGTCACATGAGGTGGCTGAATGTGCACCACAGAGCCTATACCTGCGCAAATCTTCTCCTGAGGTCTGAAATGCATTTGCTGCACCCCTGGCTTGTCCAGCAGGGAGTTGAAAATTCACATTTGGCACCAAAGAGCCAGTGACATAGGACAGGACCAGTCTTTCTCGTGGAGGGCTTGGTCTTAAGTAAGAGCTGAGAGGAAGAGACGGAAAGAGAGGGAGAGAGGGAGTGGGAGAGAAAGAGACAGAGAGAGAGACAATGACAGAGACAGACAGAGAGAGAGGGAGAGATAGAAAGAGAGGGAGAGAGGTAGAGGGAGAGAAAGAGAGAGAGAGAAGGAGATGAAGGGAGGACAGGGAGAGAGGGGGAGAGGGAGAGAAAGAGACAGAGAGAAAGAGACAGAGAGAGATGGAAAAAGGGAGAAAGGGAGAGAAAGAGACAGAGAGAGATGGGAGGAGGGGAGACAGAGAGGGAGAGAAAGAGACAGAGAGAGACAGAGACAGAGAGAAAGAGACAGCTTGTGCTGAGAAGAGTCAGGGCAGAATCACTGGGCAATAATCAAGTCTCAGTCCCTCACCATCCTGTGACCTAGAGTGAGTCACTGTCTTCTCTGGGCCTGTGTTCTCAACTGAAGACTGAGGCAGGGGGCAGAGAAGCCAGTCACAGGGCCCTCAGCCTTCTCAGCCATGCCTCTCTCATCAGAGGGGTGTCCGGGCCAGACTGTGCCAGACCTGCATGATTCAGTCAATGGAATCCAGGCGCTCTAAACCCTGCTTCACTCTGAACCCTGGCAGTCCTCTCCCTCCACTCCATGCCTGAACCCCACTCCCCCACTGTCCCTGGCACCCTTCACTTTTGCCCTGAATCCCTTGTTGGGGACATGGGCCACCTGGCAGCCACCTTCATCCCCCAGCTCACCTGGACGTCCCCCTTGGGGTGGTTGGCTCAGGCTGACTACCTACAGCTGGCCCTCTCTGGCTAATCCTGGGCCCCTCCTACATAGTTCTGAACAGTATTGGGCAGCAGGTAGGTCTGCAGGGGAGCACTGACTTGGGAGCCCTTGCCTCTTCTTGGGCCGCCTTAAGGTAGGCACCGACGGGCAGAGCCATGCTGGGAGCTATGGTCAGCCCCCATCCAGACTGGGCCAGTGTCCATCCTCATTGGCCAGGGCCTGAGGCATTCCCATTAATAAAAATTTCAAATCATTCAGCCACTTCCTCCCTTAGAGTCAGAGAAGACACAGCAAAAACAGAAACCCACAACTGTACTGCAAGCCGTGATCAAACACCCCCACTAATCACAGGAGAATCAACAGTCAGCCAGAGTCCAGTTTGCTATGCCAAGAGAACACACTTTATTACTGAGTACATTTCCAGGAAACCTGGTTTTGCATGCCATAAAAGCACCATTAAGTCCAGAAACACAAGAAATATTTTGGTAGAAAAGCCTGCTAAGCGGGGTGGGGAGGACCCCTCTAGGGAGGGGAAGGGTCATTCAGCAGCCGGGAGCCACAGGGGTGTCCTCCTTCCTGTGGTCCAGGCCCTGGCCTGGTGGGCCGTGTGGGTGTGTGGGCTGATCACAACGGGCGGGGCTGCATGTGCTCCCTGGAGGAGATGACCTTCCCGTCTCTGATCTCCTCGGTGATAGTGCGGACCTGAGTGCTGCCCTGCGGCACCGGAGTGCAGGGCACAGCTGGGGCACAGGGCACAGAGGGGACATAAGGAACTCTGACAACAGGCTTGAATTCCGTGGCACAAGGGTGGGCTGGAAGCCTGAGAAAACGAAATCATGCAGGGTTAGGGTTTGGTATCAAGGCATTGGACCAAGACTCGTGTTAAACAGATCTGAGGGGCTCCAGTGAATCAGGTAGCCTCACTTGAGACCATTTCAGTGCCTCTGAATTTCCCGAGGGTGGGAGGATCAAGGGAGAGGAATGAGGACCAGAAACTACAACCACGGCCTAGACAACATGGCGAGACCTTATTGCCACAAAAAAATCAAAAAGTAGCCTAGTATGGTGGCAAATGTCTGTAGTCTCAGCTATTCAGGAGGCTGAGGTGGGAGGATCACTTCAGCCCAGGATTTGGAGGCTGTGGTAAGCCATGATCGTGCCACTGCACTCCAGCCTGAGTGGCACAGTTAGACCCCAACTCAAAGAGAGAAAGAGAGAGAGAGAGAGAGAAGGAAGAAAGGAAAGGAAAGGAAAGACAACCAAAAACAAAAGCTGGAGAAGTGCTGTGTGTGCTGGATTGATTTATCCCCTGTGTATGACCAAAGCTCAGGCCTAGAAGGAGCTTTGGCTCAATGCCCTGCACCTGTGCATAACCCCTTGTGGGACCCATGTCCTCCCCCAGCCCAAGGACCACTCACTTGCAGTCCTCTCCCTCCAGCAGGCGGCGATAGGTGGCAATCTCGTTCTCCAGCCGGGCCTTCACGTCCAGCAGCACCTGGTACTCCTGGTTCTGCCGCTCCAGGTCACAGCGGATCTCGGCCAGCTGGGCCTCCACGTTGCCGATCAGGCCCTGCATCTGGGCCAGCTGGGAGCTGTAGCGGGCCTCTGTCTCCGCCAGGGTGGACTCCAGGGAATTCCGCTGCAGGGAGAAGGAAGAAGAGCTGCATGGGAAGGAACCCCACCCCAGCAACCCGCTGTCCTGGGCGTCTGCTTGTGTCTGCTTGTGGTCACACAGCTCACTGAGGCTGGTGGGTCAGGGGCCTGCGGCGAGCCACGGCCTGCCATCCAGGTAGGGGCCACTCACCATGCTTTGCTGGGCCTGCAGCTCAATCTCCAGGGCATTGACCGTGCGTCTCAGTTCAATGATCTCCGTCTGGCAGCACTGCAGCTGCTCCGAGCTGGACACCACCTGCTGGTTCAACTCCTCTGTCTGCAACACCCGAGAGGGCACAGTCAGACCAAGGGCTCCTTCAAGGGGCAGCCCAGCCCAAGAGCCACGGTCCCAGCTGCCAGCCCCACCTGGGTGTTGAACCAGGCCTCCACGTCTCTGTGATTGTTCTCCACCAGGGTCTCATACTGGCATCTCATGTCATCCAGGATCTTGTTGAGGTCCACTGGGGGTGCAGCATCCACTTCCACATTCAGTCGGTCCCCAAGCTGGCAACGGAGTGCGCTGACTTCCTGCAGAGATAGAGGTGACATGGCGTACAGCTGTGACAAGGACACCAGGTTGAGGATTCAGCTGACCTGGGCCCACACCTTCCTTTCTCAGTCATCAGCTGTGTGACATTAGCCAGGACACTTAACCTCTCTAAGCCTCAGTCTCCTTGTGGGTATACACCTCCCTCCTCCTGGGGACTTGGGGTATACAAGTGAGATGACACAAATACAGGCAAATAGAATTGTTGTTATCAGGCACAATAGTCCCAGGAGAATTAGTATCATGGGCAAGAGGGTAGACCCTGTGTGACCCTAGGCAAGGGACTTTGTGCCTTTGTTTTCTCATCTGCAAAATGGAGCTTATAGTAGTGTGTACCTCCTGCCATTATTGTAAGGATAAAATGAAATGAGGATGAATTGCAAAGGGCTCCACGTATCTCCTGGCACATAGGGAGCCCGAGGTCCAGCAGCGGTCCCTAAGCCACACAGGATGCTGGAAGGTCACACAGCACCCGCCTCACCTCCTCGTGGTTCTTCTTAAGACACATCAGCTCCTCCTTCAGGGACTCGACCTGGGTCTCCAAGTCAGCCTTGCACAGGGTCAACTCATCCAGGATTCTGCGCAGCCCATTGATGTCAGCCTCCACCAGCTGCCGCAGGGACAGCTCCGTCTCGTACCTGCAGACACAGAACCCTGCCAGGTCTGCTGCAAAGGAAGCTGCACACAGGAATGGGGAGCCTCCTGCCCTGCCATCCAGCTACTGTGACTGACTTGGGGCCAGAAGCATGGCCGTGCTCTTCCAGGGCTATGCCACACTTTCCCATTTGCAGCTCCATCCAGCCACCTGGGAACCACCTCACCAACTTCCAAAGGTGGGGTCAGGGGCCAGGGAGCAGCACAGCAAACCTCCCCCGGCCAGGCCTACTCACTTGGTCCGGAAGTCGTCGGCAGCCAGCTTGGCGTTATCAATTTGCAGGACCAGCCTGGCGTTCTCAGACTTGGTCAGCAGGATCTGGAGAACAAGAGGCTTCCCATGAGCTGGGGAAGGTCGGGCAGCATGGAGGCAGGTGAGGCATAGCTCGGCTCACAGAGGCCACGCTCTTAAGTCTGACCGGCACCTTCAGCCCAGACCCCAGGTGTGGAAGGAGCATCAGCTCCCAGGACGGGCATCACAGGGGTGCCAGGGGCCACCATTCCTAGCATCTGCAGCTTCCAGGGTGGTACAGTGGGGTATGCCAGCATAAGGCAGACCTGGATTCAGGTCCTGCGTCCAGCACTCAGGCTGTATGATCTTAGGCAAGTGCTGAACCTCTCAAAGCTCAGCATCCACATCTGTGACACAGTCCAGTGAAACCCATCTCTCCAAGATAAGGATGAATAAGCCAATGGACAGTAAAGTATCAGGCACAGTGCTGTATCCACTAGGGACTTGGCATGCTTTGCTTCCCACAACTGAGACAGCAAGGGGGAATGGGGAATGGGTGACAAAAGGTAAGAGCAAGAGACCAACAGGGAAGCCTGGGTCCCCCAGGAAACCAAGGCCGCAAAGAGAAGACCCTGCCCTGCCAAGAAAATTCCCTAAAAGCCACAGTCCCGCCTGGAAAGGCCCTGGAATGAGACAAACACCTCCCAGGAGCTGGGCTGCTCAGCCAGAGATGGGCCCGGTCGCCTCACCTTCTGCTGGAAATCCTCGATGGTCTTAAAGTAGGACTGGTAGTCTGGGCAGATATACGGGATCTGAGACTCGTACCACTCCCGGATGCGGCCCTCCAGCTCCGCGTTCTCCCGCTCCAGCTGACGCACCTTCTCCAGGTAACTGGCCAGGCGGTCATTCAGAAACTGCATGGTCTCCTTCTCACTGCCATTAAAGGAGCCCTCGCGAAAGAAGAACCCACTCCCGGCAAAGCCAGAGGGGTGGTGGTACCCAGCAGACAAGTAGGAGCTGGGCAAGTAGCTCCCAAGGCTGGAGGGGCCCAGCCTGATGGAGGAGACAGACCCTGCAGCACCGGTGAGACTGGGGACCCTGCAGGAGCCGGCGGAACGGATGGAGGACACCCGTGAGAAGCCACCTGCTGTGCCACAAAGGCCCTTGATGGACCCGGTGGAGAAGGTCGGGATACAGATCTGGGTGGTCATGATGCTGACAGAAGAAGGTTGCAGCTTAGCAAGAGCTGGGGTTCTGGGCTCGAAGGCCTCCCCAGAGGGTTTATATACACTCTCCATGGGGTGTTGGCAGGTTACACATCTCTGGCTCTTGGGAAAGCTTATTCCTATCCCAGAAAGCTAATCTCATTAGAATATGATTTTTACCACCCATTCAGAATCCCTTGCCTTGTAAAAAGAAAAATGTTGAATTTGGTTTGCTAAGTCAGGACTCTCCACTGCTGTCATTCCCTAGCAGAACATGAATTTTATTGCCTCTTCAAAGAGTCTTTGCACCAGATCCCATAAATCGGGAGTGGCCATACAAATGACATTTAGTTCCTGTCCTCTCTGTATATCTTCCCCCGAGGAGCCCAGTCTGTCCACTACCACCCCCACCCACTCTCCCCCACCCCTCATAGCTGTTCACTGATGCCTGGGTCACTGGGATGATGAAAGGAGCAAAGGGAACTAAAATTCACGCTGCACCTGCCATGTGCCAGGCCCAGAGTTGTTTATTTACAGCTCGTAACAATCCCAGAAGGTGGCCGGTGTTGTCTTCATTTTATCAATGTGGAAACTGAGGCACAGCATGGTTTAAAAGCAGGGAATGAGTTGCAGAGCTTGGATCTGAAACCAGGGCTTGCTGGGCATGATGGCATACACCTGAAGTCCCAGCTACACAGGAGGCTGAGGTGGGAGGGTCACTTGAGCCCAGAAGTTTGAGAACAGCCTGGCCAACACAGCGAGACCCCATCCAAAGTGTATCCCTTGTCTTGCTGCTTCTTCACACACTGAGGTTGAACCTGGGGCCCCAGAATATAGGGACAGGAGAACTAGGTTCAAATCCTGGCTCTGTTTGTGATTTTCCCTGTGATACTGAGTATGTCACCTCCTCTCTAGTATACTCAGCAGTGTCCCCATCAGAACAGTAGAGGTCATAACCCTGTCATGCCTGCATCACACAGATGCAAAGAGGATCAAGCAAGAAGTAAAAGTTTGTTGGATGTCACTGGGAATGGTAGGAGTGATGTTTAGGCTCAGAGGACAGTCTTTGGTGGTGGTTTATGGCTGTGGCCAGCAAAGGGTCCCAGGTGTAAACACTCATGTGGGCTGCTGACAATAAGGTCAGTCCGTCAACCAGGCACAGCAGGGTGGCAATGTGGGGAGCAGGAGTACATAGCCAATCCCTCAGACAGTCAACAAACACGTCATCACGGAGTTTCCTGCCACTATGGAATCCACATGCTTGGATCCATGGACGGGGCTAGGAGCAGTTCGCTTTGTGGCCACCAGCCTTTTGAACCTGCAAGAGTAGAATCAGGACCCCAGCCTGCCATGGTGGCTCACGTTTGTAATCCTAGCACTTTGGAAGGCAGAAGCAAGAGGATTGCCTGAGCCCAGGAGTTCAAGACCAGTCTGGGCAACTTGGTGAGCCCTTGTCTCTACAATAAACCAAAAACTTTAGCCAGGTGTGGTGGCGTACACCTGTAGCTCCAGCTACTCAGGATGCTGAGGCAGAAGGATTCCCTGAGCCCAGCAGGTCGAGGATGCAGTGGCCATGAGCATGCCACTGCATGACAGAGTAAGACTCCGACTCAAAAGGAAAAAAAAAATCAGGACCCAAGGACAGCCCACTCTGACCCTCCTGGTCCCTAATCAGGTCATAGAGAGGGCCAATGGTGGACCCTTTGGATCGAGAAGGAATGAAAAGAGCAAAGCTGAATACCACGAGATAGCTAAGCTAGCCGAGAGAGGAGAACCCGGGAATTAGGGGCCAAAGACAAGCCCAGCTCTTCCGCCTCGAAACACGGGCTTTCCCAGGGCTCAGGCAACCTGTTCCCTCTTCCCCCTACACGCCCTCGGATGGCAGTTTATGGAAGCATTTATGTGCTTCTAAAGTTGTAATTTACCTACCTCTTAAAATGCTTTATAAGCTTCTCTCTGAAATTACTCAGGGAGAATCGGCTGTGATGAATATGCCCCGCCCAGTGCATTAGACACGGCAATGAGATGCCTAGAACAGTCGATGACGGTCTCTCTAAGGGCCAGCCCTGCACAGCCCCTCCTGGGAGTGTGAACCAGGCTTCAGCCCTTCTCCCTTACTTCTTATTTGATCCTCCTCATCCTGTGTGAAACAGGCAGGACACAGTGATGACTTCTACTCTTCCGATGAGAACACTGAGGATCCCAGGGAAGAGGTGACATGCTCCGTATCCCAGGGCAGATCATCAGCAGAGCCAGAACTTGAACCCAGGTCTCTTGTCTCCAGACTTGACCTCAGTTGTGGAGCAGAGGACAAGGAATAGGATGTGGACAAGGTATCACAGTCACCCATCTCCTGGGCTCTCCAGCAGGGCCTAGGATTGGACTGTCACAGGGTTTCCCAAAACCTTGGCATGCTGACATTGAGGACCTGGCCATTCATTGCTGTGTGGGACTCTCCGGTGTCTTGCAAGATGTTTGCCAGTGTCAGTGGACTCCACCACCCAAAGCCAGCAGCAATCCCCTGCTCCAGTAAATGCCTACAGACATTGCCAAATGTCCCCAAAGCAGAGGGGACAAAGCTACCTCCAGCTGAAAACCACTGGACTGTCAGGACAGACACTGGGACTCTGACTCAACCTCCCACAAGCACCCCCTACTTTATTTTCTCGGACTAGTACATAGTATGTCTGCCTCTGTGGGACTCACTCAGGCTAGTCTGCAATACACCCATGCATCAGTTTACCTCATTTATGACACAGAGTGCTTGTCCCACAAAATGGGCCCCAACGGCAGCCCTCAGAAAGTCCTTGAGGCCGCTCTTCTGTGTCCTGGGTCTGCTGGTGGACATCAAGAGTCAACCTTCTCACCGTCTAATTTGTGGTAATTCCTACACTGTGTGATCCATATCTGAAGAAGGATTCTAGATTTTTCTCAACTGAGTAAGCAGGGATCTGCTGCTCCAGAGGTCCCCATCACTCTCACCAAGCACAGGAGAACTGCCGTGGGCCGAAGGGCTGTGGGAAGAGGACTATACCTCTCCTGGGGCAGGTGACAAGCTGGTCAAGGGAGGTCTTTCATCTGCCCTCAATCCCCCCCGTCCTCTGCCTTTGTCCTTTTTGAAGACTGCTCATATCCCAGGGGAGGATGAGGGGGGAGACTCAGAGAGGGAATGCCTCCACTCTCTCCCACCCTGGTTGCCCTGGCCATCACAGGATGGAATGCAGGCCACAGGCACAAATGCTCGACCTGCACTGGAGGAGAGAATCTGGGGCTCCCAGGCTGCTCTCCCAGCCAACTCTAAGGGGCACCCCCTCCCAGGGAGGGTAGCCCAGCCCCGGAGAAGATCCAGCTGTTTGGGGTTGAGTAAACCCACATCAGGTTTCATTTCAAAATAGGATCCTGTTCTGAGACCACTCTTTTTAACCTCAAGGAAAAGTGTACTAGGCCGAGGAGCAGGAGCCCTGGACTCCAGGCCCAGCTCTGTCCCAAGTCCCCAGCATGAGCCCCATCCACTCTGTGCCAGTGCAAGTAAGAAAAGGTCTGGACAAGGAGCTGGCACCCCATCCTCCCAAATATTATAGGACCTGGTGCCCAAGCACGTCCTGTGGGGTCTAGGAGTCACCGGGATATGCCTGTCACTCACCCACCATCTCCCACAGCCCCATCCCTTCTCTGTCACTGACCCACAGAATAGAGAAATGTCAAGCAGTCTTGAACACATGACATGACTGGGTTTTCTCTTTTGTCCCAACACTCATGGACCTCGGGATCTCCCTTGACTGGCAACACCGCACACCACAAGAGCAACGTGCAGGCTTCCTCGGACCTTGTCCTCCCCAGGTTCTCCACCTCCCAAAGCCATTCCCCAGAAGGGTCTATTCAGAGATTCATTGCCCCCAGGTCTCTGAACAGACATCCCAGCCTCTCCAGGCCAAAATGACCTCTCTGGCAGAAGGGACTTAGAGAACACAGGACTGGATAGCAGGGACAAGGGCCCTGGACCTGGACCCTGCTCCATCTCTCTTTCAAAGTGGTCTGAGATCCTTGGATGATGATGCCACACGGTTTCCCTGATAGGTGGATGGAGGTCATCATGCCACAATGGACTTGATCAACAGGAAGTCATTTCACAGATTTAAGCGATAGAAACCTCTCTTAGAGTCATATCGTTAAACGCTGTTTCTGTGGCACTATCCGCCGGCCCTGGTTTAACAGGCTAACCCAAGAAAAAACAACTACTTAAAGAGGAGGGGCCGAGACTGTGTCCAGAGCTGCAGCAGTTCCCTCCACCAGGAGTCTCTGGCATCTCACCCGAGTTCTAGAAGCTTCCCAAAGCCCCCACCCCACCTGCAGGACACAGTGTTAATAGGATGCTGTGTCCACCATGATCCCAGTGGTAGAAGATGGTGGGAGGAGAGTCCATGCTGTTCTAGGAACAGAAAACACCTGGTTTTCCCCAAGCTCATCTTGGAAGACCAAGTTCAAGTTCAATAGCAACTGCTAAGTTTGTGGCCTCTTCTTTGGTAAAAGCAAGTCTGTGCCCTCAAAAGAGCTTCCATCTGAAGGCCAAGGTTCTTCAAGGGCAAAGGCCCAAAACATCAAGCCCGAATCTCCTTCTGCCCAGCTCTAAACAGTCCCTTCGATGCACAAGGCATATCCTGCCACAGTGAGTTCTTCAAGCAGGATCTCTCTTTCACTGCTTCTCTGGGCTTTGGCCAGAATGGGTCAGCCACCACCACCCCAGGCAGCAGAGGAGGCTGACCAGATGGCAGCCCATGGGTAGCCAGGCCACCTGTAATGGGCACCAATGGAAATAAGACCTCCACAGACATGCGATAGCCATCTCTCTTAGAGCAACCTGCGGGTTTGTCACCATCATTCTGGTTTTCTTCTGCCTGTTCCATCTTTGAGCACAGGTCCTAGGGAGTTTCCCACACAAAGGGCACAGGTCCTAGGGAGTTTCCCACACAAAAGGCATCTGAGAAAGACTGATCCCATATCTGAAC